ACTCTGCCACTGAGAGACACACCCAGCTCATTGTGTTTATGCTTTCTAACTTTATATAGGTAGTATGTTAGTCTGAGGATGACACACCACTATAAGTAAAGGTTTGGTCCACAACGTGGAGCTACTGTCAGGCTTTTAAGAGCTTAGGCACTCACATCGGAGACTGAAGGACCCTAGTTTCTCCTCGTGCCTTCTGATGGAGATAAAAGCTGCTTGCTCCCACATGGGGACTTGCCACAAAGGGGTCACTATCCTCAACCTTTACTAGAGGCTAAATCCATGGTACACTACCTACTCTTGGACTTTGATGACCCCAAATCGAAAGCTACATAAACTATCTTTATAAAACTCATTTCTGCCAAATACTTCATTAGCAGCCAAAAGCTAATACGGCATACATTATAAAATATATTTAAGCTCTTTCTTAAAAACTTTTTTTGTGGGCTTGTTGATGTCATTCACTCATTTGGTTTTGGAGATGGGACCTCATCATGTAGCCTTAAATAGCCTGAAACTCACTATGTACACATGGATGGCCTTAACCAGCAATCCTCCTGCCTGTGTGTCTTAAGTTTTGTTTTAGTTGCTCTAATGAAATACCTTGACAGAGGCAGCTTAGGGGAGAAAGATTTTCCTTTTATCTTACCCTTCCAAGTCATAGTCCCTCAAAGCAGGAAAATCACAGCAGCAAGGGCCAGAAACAGCTAGTCTTACCACAGCTACAGTCATGAGCTAAAGAGCGAATTAATGTGTGCATTGCTGAGTTTGAGCTAAAGAGTGAATTAATGTGTGCATTGCTGAGTTTGGAGGCGGGTGCCTTCCACCTTCCAACTGGGTCTTCTCATGTCAATACACCTAAACACCACAACTCCCCCAAGACCAGCCTAATGGGAGTTACAATGGGAGTTATAATGTCCCTCATTGTAGCTCCCTTTCGGGGTGATCCCAGCTGAAATCAACCTTACTGTTTTTGTTTGTTTGTTTGTTTGTTTGTTTAAGTTCAAACTTACAGAGCTGTGAGGCTCTGTGATACACTTGACAGCAGGCACTGAAAATTAAGACTGAAAAGTGAAGATTTACAAAGAGACACTGAAAAAGTTTACAAAGTTTAAAACAGCAATGGAATGCCCTACTAATTTATTATTTTTTTTATCAGTATAAAAAGCTGAAGTCTGGAAAATGTGGAAAACAGGTAAAACCCTTCAGTTCTTCCTATATATCCATGTGAAATGCTTGCTACACATATCATCTTCATAACTCTCTTTAAAATTAAATAAGCAATTGCCTTACTTTATTGATGAAAAGTATCACCAATTAAAATACTATATTTTTGGCAGGCAAAATATCTCTGTGGGTAAAGATGCCTATTACCAAGCTGACAATCTGAGTTCAACATGAGGACATACATGGTGGAAGAATGAAGAATTGGCTTCCACAAGTAGTCCTATGACTTCCACATGTGTTGTGATATATATGCATCAATACATATACATACATACGTACATACATACATACATACATACATACACACAAAAAGAAATTATAACTTTTACAACTGTAACCAGATGATATAAAGGGCCTCCTTGTAAATAGGAGAAATGCTTTAGTGATATGCCAGGCCCCTATAAAGTATATTAAAAACCCTATAAAGGAAATGCAAACTGAAGCTCTAGCTAGCTTTGAGTACCTATGAAAGTGGCTAAGATTTAAGAATAATGATTAGAGATTTCTGAGTGATGAATACAGCATGAGCTAAGGGAAGCATATTGAAGTTGGAATGAATGCTCACTTGAGTAAATACTAGAACATAAAGTGAAGAACAGAAGAACAAGAGCCGGATACTGGAGAGCCGGCAAGACAGAGAGATAAGAGTTACAAAATACCGGATACAGTTTCATCTTGTGAGTGTCGGGGTATCCTCACACAAATCTAGATGGCACAGCCCTTTGCTCCTAGGTGACAAGCCCATACAACATGACACTGATTTCCACAGGCAACTCTAACTTAGGATATTTCTCTATATGACCCACAACAAAGAAGTCAGTGAGAAACTGGCCGAGAGAAGGTATCAGGTTATTTTCTAGGTTTAGTTATTGAGACACTCAAGCCTCCAGTTCAGAAGAACACACGAAGCTGTTTGTTTTTAACTGTGAGAAGGATGGAGCACAGGCTACATACGGGCAGAGCTTTACTAGTAAGCTGAGTCCCCAGTTATCACACAGCTCACTTAGGAATATTTCCATTTTGTTCAGAAAGCAAATGAACAAGGAGCTCATATGACATCTGAATTTATATATATATATATATATATATATATATATATATATGTCACATATATGTATATATACACTATATATATAAACCCACTGTTGTAAAATAGGCATCTATAAAACCATTTATAATATATACCAATTTTGTTTGAAATGAATAGCAATAGTTATTTCCAGAAGACTACTATAAATTATTAGCAGTTTAAAAGAAGGCTTTATTTAAAAAAAAATCCCTTCAATAAAAAATAACCTCCAATACTTGTTAAATTATTATAAAGGACTAGGCACTGAACTGATCTCATAGTAACTACTCAGTTTTACTACATCTTACATAGACCTAAAGTCCACAGAAACATTCTGGAACCTTTGTTTCAAGGCCAAAGCTAGAAAGGAGACAGGAGTCTACAGAGGGAGAAGTTCTGAGAACTACCACAGGCGCACTTGCTTCTGTCTCTGAGGTTTTGTACTTGACATGGGACACCACAGTATTACAAATCTTGCTCCAGTGTAAACTAAAAATGTTCCAAATTAAAGAGCCAAGGCTTCCCTGCTGAGTACGTAATAAAAATGAGGGCAACGCTGCGCTTCTCGGACATTACTTTTTCCGTCTCAGCACCAACCCTGAACTCCCACTGCCACTGTTTCTCAGACTTCGCCACTCAATCTCAAGCTCCTAGCTGTTGAGTCTAACTGCCTTACACGTGTTAACCCATAGTCCCGGCAGCCTCGTGATGTATCTCTGCTATGCAGTTGGGAACCGCTAAGCAGCAAGACTAAAATGTCAATCTAGAGATTCTAAGGCTTCAATGCCATTCCCCAGCGCTCACCCCTCGGCACATCTCTCAAGACAGAAAACATGAGCCATCTTTGGGCAGTGACACTTTTACATTTTAGTTAAGGCATCTGATGGTCAACAAGTCCACCAGGACCAAATGTTTAGTTTTTGAAATGCTGTTGGTTCTGCCATTATTAAATGATTAAAAGCTGTGGAATTTAATTTGCAAGGCATTGTGATGCTTGATGTCTGAAAAACTATTTATAGTAATCAACAGGAAACTTTATATAATCAAGTTTAAAAAGAAAAAGAATGAGTTTCAATTCTCATCCTTTCATTCTCTCCCTCTCTCTCTCTCTCTCTCTCTCTCTCTATCTATCTATCTATCTATATATATATTTGTAAAAAGGTATCAACGATGCACTAGAGGTACACAAGGGTGGTTCCACGAGCTCACATAGACTAGAGACACGGTAGCCCTCTCAGTATGTACAGATAAGACTCCTGTATGTTCACACAATGTCGAGGCTCACATAGCCCTATGTTTATTAGAAACCATCTCAGCCCTTAAGGGGTCCATGCCTGTACGTGAAGAACTGAGCACAGTGAACGATTAAAACTAAGGAGTCAATGTCACCTACTGTTACCGGGGACACCTACCACTTTTTGGAGAAGGGTTTTCCTATCAGTACTCCCCAGGATGCACTGGTGATAAACATAAACCAAATTCAAACCTCAGAACAAGACCCCTGAATTCACATGCTTATAAAAACTAAAGGTAATGATGCTTCTGAAACTGATGAGGAGCCCACAATTCCACACAGTGCAAGCACAATGAACAGTAGCTGGTAAATGGGGGCTGGGGAAAACAGTTCCTTCTGGAGAGCAAGGAAAACAGAATTCAACCTTAGAACCCACATACAAATACATGGCATAGTGGTTAGCAATGCTAGCTCTAGGGAGGTGGTCACAGGGACCCTATCCAATTGGCCAGCTAGCCAGCCTAGCCTAATCAATGATTTCCAGACCAGTGAGTGAGTGAGAGATCCAAAAACAAAGTGGACAGTACCCCAAGAACGACACAAGGTTGACATGTGCCCTCCATACGCACATGTACAGCGACACAAAAACTAATTTCCAAAATAAATACATTTAGCCTCACAATTTATCACGGTAGTCAATTTACATACGAATAAATGCTATCAATAAAACTCATTCCACATATGTGGAGTGTAGCCCGGCGGTGGTGGCACTGGGGAGGCAGAGGCAGGCGGATCTCTGTGAGTTCGAGACCAGCCTGGCCTACAAGAGCTAGTTCCAGAACAGCCTCCAAAGCCACAGAGAAACCCTGTCTCGAAACCACCCTACCACCTCCCCCCACACAAAAAAATTTCAAAGTCTGAAAAATAAAAATCCTTGAGATTGGGAATGTAGTTTACTGATAAAGAATTTGTCCAGCTTGCTAAAGACTCTGTGTTCGATCCCCAGCACACATGTGCACACACACACACTTATAATTAAAATCCTTAGTGTTAAACCTTTCAGACTTTTATATAACTATTTACTAATCTTGTACTAAGTCCAGGTACTTCCAGGTGATTGGAAATTCGTCCCTGACAGGAAACTATTGCTGTCCCTCACGTTCCCGGTGTGGCATGTTGAGCTGTAGGAGTTGGTTTCAATGTTTATTAGCTCTTGGAACTTCAGGCAGAGGACGCAAACTCTTATCAACTCCCTCAGTCCTCACAAAGGGTCTGCATGGCGAGGACTAACATCTATGCTCACTTTCCAAACGGGGAAACAGAGGCACCGGGTGTGGCTGGGTGCCCTTCGCAGAGGGCAGAGGAAAACGGAGAGTTGGGGGATGGAAGCGCAGACAGCAGCCCTGGGGGTCAGGATGCCGTCCCTCTGCGGGCCTCGTGCTCACACTGCAAGCACGGTCAGGGATACAGTACCCGTGGGTAGCAGGGGCTCCAGCGGGGTAAACGCATGCTCCATAGCGGGTTATGGCTTCTGCGTGCAAAAGAAGAGAAGTTCCAAGTTACAACTTTCCCCCGACCTAATTCTGCAACAGGAGCAAGCGGGGCGCAGCTTGCACTTTGACCCGGGGCTCTGCGGGAGGGAGGACCAGGAAGGTG